ATCAGCTGGAGACTTTCGGACCCACCGCAGCTGGGCGCGCGCCCGCTGCGCGGTCCGGGACAAACAGCCGGAGTCCGAGAGCCGCCGGACACAGCAGGGTCGTTGGGACAGACCGATCGGGTGGCAGGAGATGGTGCAGATGAAGAACCCAGGCAGACCTCGATCAGCTGGAGACTGTCGGAAACTTCGCAGCTGAGCGCGCGCCCGCTGCGCACCTCCGACCCCACGTTCTTCAGCGGGCAGGACTCCGCGAGACATCCAGGTGGAGGATCCTCAGTCCGGTGGTCAGCTGTTGCTGAGGAGCGAGCGAGGCTCGCTTTGAGCCTCACGAGGCGGCCAGCACGTCTCCCGCGGCGGCGGGAGCGATGTTTCCGTGCAGGCAGGAAAACATCACGGCGAAGGTAAGCAGGGACGCTCCCGAGCAGTGGAGGTGGGGGCCCAGACCCTCGGTAGAAATGATCGTACGAGGCGAGATGTTTTGTGGAAAATTGTAGATTTAGAAGTTGCTCACGATCATACACCAGCAGTGAGTTGATGTTATTGAGGAAGAATGATAAAAATAGCAAAAAAACAAACAGAGTGGAGAGAGGTGAACGGCAAGCCACCAGCTCGGGCGCCATCTTGAAAAGAGGTTGGCTGTTCAGAGCTCTGTGTCCAAGCACATTAATAGAGAGGCAAAGGGAAGGAAAATATGTGGTAGAAAAAGTGTACAAGCAATAGGGATGACCACACCCTGGAGAGAATGGTGAAACAAAACACATTCCAAAATGTGGGGGAGATTCACAAAGAGTGGACTGCAGCTGAAGTCAGTGCTTCAAGAACCACCACACACAGACATATACAAGACATGGGTTTCAGCTATCACATTCCTTGTGTCTAGCCACTCTTGAATAAGAGATAGCATCAGAAGCATCTCGCCTGGGACTGCTGCTGCTGAGTGGTCCAAAGTTATGTTCTCTGATGAAAGTACATTTTTCATTTTCTTCAACATTTGCTCTTGCTGCTGTTGGACGCTTTTTCCCCTCCTCTCCCTCTCCGCTTTGCTTTGCTGCTCTGTCTGTCTGTGAAACTGCTTTTGAGTCTCTTTTACATATCTTCCGAACCATAATTACGGACTTGATTTGATCAGTTGGTCCCTCAACACAATTGTTAACATTTCTTCGAAGAGAAGACAAGCTTTAGGTGAGCTGATTTGCACTGTTGGCATGCACGCAGCTGGACATCTCATTGATTTGGAAGACTTGATGATGTGTCTATCTCTGCTGCCATTTGTGGATTTTAAGGATGCATTTATAATTGGATTTATGATAACTGATTCCTGCTTTTGGGATTCGGATGGCTGCTGGTTTATCTACAAACAAGGAAGACATCTGCAGCAAATTTGGACCCGATCATGCTGCTTGCCTTATGATGGCTTGGTTCATGCCTCAAGTACCCATACTCATATGCTTTTGGCAGAATGGATCAGATCTCGGGGATTTTACTCAGCCACATTCTTTTGGTGTGGCCAAGTAATTTGGACATTTCGGAACAGAGTGGACCAACACAGACTCAAGGTAGATGTCATTAAAGTTTTGCATGTCCCCAAAACAACTGTGTGTTTATCTGAATTTGGCTCCCCTGGCTGGCCTTGAAGGCCATCTTATCTGAATTTGCCTGGAGAACATGTAATGTGACGCTCTGCCCCCCTCCCCCTCCTATCGGCGAATTTCCATCTGATCAACTAGAGGAAACCAGCTGAATAAACATTGTTTCATCATTTCAGGACTCTTGGATTTCCATTGGCGTTGTCCTTGGCCATTCCCCGACATCCCTCGAGATTATTTACGGATCTCACCAGAGGGAACGCCTTATCATAACTCTTCAGTATCCTCGAGTGTGTCCATGGACATTGCTCACTGCTCTTGTCGTGCCCCCCCCCCCCCCCCGAGGAATGTCTAGGTCACTATGTGCTTGTATGTGCAAGGTATATTTTTAATATTAGTTTTTCTTCTCAGCCAAGAAGACAATGTTTAATAGGATTTTTTTTGCTTCCAATTCTTACATGTCCAGTTTCACTACTTTTTGTCTGTCTAAACAGATTTCACTTGTAAATGAGTCTTCGAGGCTCAATGTGATTTATCTGTCTAAATAAAGGTTGAATGAATGAATGAATGAAAAAAATCAAGGTCCCAGAGTGTGGAGGAAGAGAGGAGAGGCACAGAATCCATGTTGCTTGTGGTCCAGTGTCAAGTTTCTACAGTCAATGATGGTTTGGGGTACCATGTCATCTTTTGTGTTGGTCCACTGTCTTTTCTGAGGTCCAAGGTCAACGCAGCCGTCTACCAGGACGTTTTAGAGCACTTCATGCTTCCTACTGCTGACCAACTTTATGGAGATACAGATTTCATTTTCCAACAGGACTTGACACTTTCACCCAGTGCCAAAGCTACCAGTACCTGGTTTAAGGACCATGGTATCCCTGTTCTTAATTGGTCAGCACTAGAAAATCTATGTGGTATTGTGAAGAGGAAGATGCGATACGCCAGACCCAACAATTCAGAAGAGCTCAAGGCCACTATCAGAGCAACCTGGGCTCTCATAACACCTGAGCAGTGCCACAGACCGATTGACTCCATGCCAGGCTGCATTGCTGCAGTAATCCAGGCAAAAGGAGCCCCAACTAAGTATTGAGTGCTGTACATGCTCATATTTTTCATGTTCATACTTTTCAGTTGGCCAACATTTCTAAAAATCCTTTTTTTTATTTTTTTATATTGGTCTTAAGTAATTCCAATCTGGCTTTAAACCACTCCACAGCACTGAAACTGCCCTACTGAAGGTTTTTAATGACATCTTCTTATCCACAGATACTGGTGATTCTGTGCTGCTTGTCCTATTGGACCTTTGGACCTTACATCCACTTTTGACACTATCGACCATAAGATTCTCATTGCTAGGTTGGAGCAGTGCGTGGGCATCACAGGGTCAGCCCTCAATTGGTTCAGATCCTACCTCGCTGACAGATCCTTTTGTGTTTCCATCAAAGATTTTAGTTCTGCAGCGGCAGAGCTTAAATGGCGGGGGGGGGGGGGTCCACAGGGGTCCATCCTGGGTCCCCTCCTATTCTCTTTATACCTGCTGTCACTTGGTGCTATTTTCCAGAAACACAACATACCCTTTCACTTCTACGCCGATGACTGTCAAATTTACTTCCCCCTAAGACACAATGGTACATGCTCTATTCAACATCTGCTTGACTCCCTGGCTGACATGAGGGACTGGATGGCTTTAAATTTCTTAAGTTTCAATGAAAAGAAGTCTGAAGTCATGTTGTTCCCTCCCAACGACACGATCACGAACCACTGCATCGACCTTTCTGCTCTAGCCCTGTTATAAATACAAAGAGTCACAAATCTGGGAGTGATAATGGACCCTTCCATGAAACTCAACAGTCATGTAAACATGATTGTTAAATCCTGTTTTTTCCAACTGCGATTTTCTAAGCTGAAGCCTATATAGTCCAAAAATAACCTGGAGACAGTAATAAACACATTCATTACATCTAGGCTTGATTACTGCAATTTACTCTTGTTTGGTATCAGTCAGACCTCCATTGCACAACTTCAACTGGTCCAGAATGCAGCAGCTTGATTTCTAACCAGTACAGGAGAGCACATTACACCAGTCTTGGCCTCCTTGCACTGGCTACCAGTTCACCTTCGAATCCAGTTCAAAATACTCACGTTTGTCTACAAATCGCTGTACAGTTTCGCCCCCCTCCCCCATCTCTCTGATTTTCTACAGCCGTATGTCCCACCACGTACTTTGAGGTCAGCGGACCAGTTGCTTCTCACAGTTCCAGGAACTCTTCTTAAGCGCAGAGGAGACAGGGTCTTCTCTGTAGCAGGCCCAAGACTTTGGAACGAGTTACTTCTGCTTGTCAGACAAGCCCCCTCCCCCTTGGTTTTCAAATCCCTTTTAAAAACCCACTACTATTCCGTAGCTTTCAACACCAGATGATCTGTGGTTTGAACCGGTATGCTTCACACATACACTGTTATATTGATTATATGTGATGTTTTTATGTCTATATTCTGATTTACTTCACTTTGTATGTTGCTTTGTGTGTTGCCTGTTTTTCTGTTTGTACAGCACTTTGGTTGGCCTCATCACTGTTTTAAGTGCTCTATAAATAAAATGGTATGGTAATATTCTAATTTTCTGAGAAACTGAATTTGGGGTTTTCATTAGTTGTCAGTTATAATCATCAATATTAAAAGAAATAAACATTTAAAAAATATCAGTCTGTGTGTAATGAATGAATATAATATACAAGTTTCTTTTTTTGAATGGAATTACTGAAATAAATAACTTTTTCATATTCTAATTTTATGACCAGCACCTGGTTAATATAAAGAGTATTGGTCCAAGCACTGAACCCGTTTATTAGCCAGCATGAAGAAACCAAGTTTAGAAAACAAAGAGAAACACAAGTACCACATATACTAATATTCTTAGATTTCCTGCATATTCCCTCTTGCCCTGTTGTCTGTCACAGTTTTGTTGCATTCCCTGTAGATCACCATTCTTTAAGACTTCACACAAAATAGTCTCTTTCTGGCTTTCTTGGGATGGCAGCATCACAGGCAGCTGCTTTACATGTGACCCTGACACCAGGTCTGATGGTGCCCTTTGCTCCTGCTGACCTGTTCCACACAATTCACTCTTACTGAGATCTCTCCAGGTAAAGAAGGGAAGAAGAATGAGTTACAGCCTGAATAGTTTATACAAGTTGACTAAACTTCAAATCTATTTGATCTGGTCCTCGTGGAAATATAATGCTACATGTGTGCCATGTGTTCCATCCTAAAGCCCAGCTTGGTTGGTGCCTAAAGCATGTGTGTTAGACAAACACATCTGTATATTCAGAGGGAGGACAGAAATTACTTATTTAAATCATACAGCATTAATCAGAAGTTAGAATGTGTTTCATGTTTATTTACTCATTTTATTTGTAGGGAGCAACAATCAGACGTGATGAAGAGACAGGAGCCATCATTGTAGCACGCATCATGAGAGGAGGGGCAGCAGACAGAAGCGGTCAGTTTAACTCTATATTATATACTGTATTATTTTTGTTATATGAAGTGTGTGCATGTCTTTTATCTGTCAGCAGTGTGGAATTGTATTACTACATCCAGTGTGCAGGGGTTGGGATGTGTTCATGAATTCTGTCTCTGCCAGAACACACTGTATCCACTCTTTAAAAGTGAAAATAATTGACAGATATATTGAGACATGCCACATGTCTGCCACATGTTTTGTATTGTGTACATACATTGTGCCCAGCTATTTCCAGCTCTGTCACAGTTATGCCAAAGGCAGTTTTCCACAGATGTTGGTGATAACATTTTGATTAGTTTCCCCTCCCACTGGTCAGTGAATGTAAACATTAATTTGTTGCATGTACATAACTCCAGGCATTGTGTACAGAGGATTTTATGCAGTAGCTCATTTAAGTCAAAGGTTTGGAGTTACAGATGTTAAAGGGATTGTCTAAATGTAATCTTGGTGTTTTGAATGTGTTAGGATTGATTCATGCTGGAGATGAACTGAAGGAGGTCAATGGAATTCTTATGGATAACAAGAAACCAGAAGAAGTCATTCAACTTCTGGTATGGCTCAACTTTTTATGCATGTCCAAAGGTTTTTCTATGTTTCAGCTTCACTCTCTTGGTGAAAATAACAATCCTTGTTTATCATGGCAAAAACTTCAATGAACTCCAGGAGCCCGGGCCTACCGTTGCTTGTCTGAAAATTAAACACTGATTTTTCTTTGAAAGTCTTTTCTGGCTTTTAGACCACATGCATTGAGGCGCACAGTCTCCCTGGATAAAAATGATGCTTTGTGGGTCCTCCAAGCAGATTTCTCCTTGTTCCTCAAATGAGCTACATTATGGGTCAGAACTTTGCCAAGACAGACTTAAGAGAGTCTCTTAAACTTTGTACTTTCTCAGTTCTATCAGAGCTTTACTCTCAGTGCCCACAAACAAAGCATATGTTAAAACAGGGTTATTCAACTGGCAACTCATGGGTCACTTTCGGCCCACAGGTGATAAGTTTAATAAAAATAATATATACAGGTCCTTCTCAAAAAAATTAGCATATTGTGATAAAGGTCATTATTTTCCATAATGTAATGATAAAAATGAAACTTTCATATATTTCAGATTCATTGCACACCAACTGAAATATTTCAGGTATTTAATTGTTTTAATACTGATGATTATGGCATACAGCTCATGAAAACCCAAAATGCCTGTCCCAAAAAAATAGCATATCATGAAAAGGTTCTCTAAACAAGCTATTAACCTAACCATCTGAATCAATGACGTAACTCTAAACACCTGCAAAAGATTCCTGAGGCTTTTAAAACTCCCAGCCTTGTTCATTACTCAAAACCGCAATCATGAGTAAGACTGCCGACCTGACTGCTGTCCAAAAGGCCATCATTGACACCCTCAAGCAAGAGGGTAAGACACAGAAAGAAATTGCTGAACGAATAGGCTGTTCCCAGAGTGCTGTATCAAGGCACCTCAGTGGGAAGTCTATGGGAAGGGAAAAGTGTGGCAGAAAACGCTGCACAACGAGAAGAGGTGACCGGACCCTGAGGAGGATTGTGGAGAAGGGCCGATTCCAGAACTTGGGTGACCTGCGGAAGCAGTGGACTGAGTCTGGAGTAGAAACATCCAGAGCCACTGTGCACAGGCATGTGCAGGAAATGGGCTACAGGTGCTGCATTCCCCAGGTCAAGCCACTGTTGAACCAGAAACAGCGGCAGAAGCACCTGACCTGGGCTACAGAGAAGCAGCACTGGACTGTTGCTCAGTGGTCCAAAGTACTTTTTTCGAATGAAAGCAAATTTTGCACGTCATTCAGAAATCAAGGTGCCAGAGTCTGGAGGAAGACTGGGGAGAAGGAAATGCCAAAATGCCAGAAGTCCAGTGTGAAGCACCCACAGTCAGTGATGGTCTGGGGTGCCATGTCAGC